AGATGTGTATAAGAGATATATGTATATGTGTGTGTATATGTGTATGTGTTTTTTTTATACACAGGCTGTAAAACTGTTAAAAAGCAATGGGATATTAGTGTATAGCACATGCACCTTGACCATTGGAGAAAATGAAGAAGTAGTAGAATGGGCTCTGAAAACTTACCCCAATCTAACGCTAGAAAAACAGGTTAGTAATAGTTATATGCTTGCTATTGCACCCTATTATCTCGGAGCAATTTCCAAATTTGCTATGCATAGAGCTCCTCTTCCGATGGAATTATGTTTATAGATTTATTGTAAAGTCAAGCCAGCCACTCACTGCGCTCGAGACAGTCATTAACCAACAAGATCTATGGCAAACGCAATGCCACGGTGTATGCACAACAGATTGTTTTAAATGGCGATTTGTCACCGACAGTCAGCAGATGGCTTCATCTGGCATTCACAGGGAGCAGAGTTGCATTCATTGGCCAACGGTTGTAAGATGCAGTGAATGCTCAGCTTAAGGATCCCATCAGAGTTCAGTCATGGGTTATCCTAAAGGCTGGCACACACTGCGAGGAATCCAGATGCCCTCTCTGCCAGGGGTGGCGGCAGGATTTGCCCGACTGGGGGGGTGGGGGGCCGAGGTCCCTGACAGGGGGCTGGTTCCCCTGACGGAAGGTCCGATTTCCTTGACGAAAGCAAAGTGGGCGTTCTTGGGCTTCAATTAAAAGGTTTTGAAAGTGATCCTGTGACGAAACCCCTGAAAATTTTGACAATTTAGGGGTTTCAAAGGCTTATTTAATCGATTTTAGAGTCTACTAATATGTAAAAAATACATAAAAATTTTTTTTCTCCCCGACGAATTGTGCTTTTTCTCCTCGACGTCGTTGGTCAGCTCTCCCCGACAAGGGGGTGCCCCGGCCCATCCACTGGCGTCATCCCTGCTCTTTGCGAACACATGACGAAATGAAGCAATTGGGCATGCATGCATGGGTGTAGGGGGGCTCGGGAAAGTCGTAAAGGTCCACATTTTTTCCAAAGACATTTTTTTCTAGGGCCTTTTCACAATGACATAAATGAAAAAGCATTGATGAGGTACCAGCAATGTGTCCAAAGACCTTGTCAAATGCGTGATGTAATCTATCTCAATTCCAGCAATTCTGAAACTGAGCCTGCCATCCGATTCAAGCTGATGGCGCTGTAATCGATTTTCCTGTCTCCCACTGAAAAGGTCCAAAAAATTATGATTACGACTCACCCAGAAAAAATCCTGGATACACCTCTGGCATGCTGCTCATGTTGCGTTCTTCAATAAATCATGTTGGACAACAGCAGTGAAAATGATGACGACGTTGACAATTAAATACAAATTTACTGGTCAATTTTGAATATTGATATAAATTAACACATGCTTTGAAAGTGCCTGGGTTTGTTTATATAATTACTGTATTATTTAAATAAGCCTTTCAGTCACTAAAAAATTGTATACAAATTTCAAATGTTTTGTTTTAATTCCAAAATATGTAAATATTATATTTGTTACATAATATTATTTTTTAGGCACCATCAGTCTTCGGCACTGGAATGCCTGGAACCTCATTGGAATATTCACAGTTGGAGAGACTGCAGCGATGCAATCCAGCATATGTTCCGGAAGAATTTAAAGACAGAAATGCAGACAATGATACAATAGGCTTTTTTATAGCAATGTTCAGAAAAAGTTGATGATACAGTAACACAGTATGCAGAAAATATATAGCCAGAAGTCTCAAGTCTCTTGCAGGTCTCAGGGATCTCAGGAATTGGGCAGCTTTCATCACTCCTGCAAGTAAGCAAAATCCACAGGAAATTCATCGCAAATTTATTAGAGCGCTTATTTGATTTTCAGTGCAAAATTCTGTGTTGTGCGCACAAAGAAAATATAACTTATGTACTACACCATCATATTGAAAACAATATTTTTATGCTTCATTTTTTTTGGAGTGGATTGCTTTAAGCAGTGTACATTATATGAAGTGTTAATGCTTAGCCAGCTACTGTATCATCGTGACAGAAATGTTCCATAATAATTAACCATTCCTTTAAAGCCCCAACCCTTGTGATATTGTCCAACAAAAAAAAAGACAGCGTAAAATATACGTAAACATGTGCGTTTGTGGTACAAGCATGTATTTTTGGCGCTGTCTCTGATTTGTCAGTTTTTAAGTTTGATTGAGGCCTTTCTAAACGTTAGCTGGCACTTTAACTTCTGATACAAATTTCTAGTGCATAATTTTTTTATTTTTCTTATGTTCTTTTAAGCCGGGCACGACGACTGTCGCACGACAAATCCAACTCAGTTCTCTGTGATCGATAGACGATGTGACGCCGCCTGCTGATTGTCGGTGGCAGTCTGAACGGATTGTTCATTAAAAGTGATTTGTTGCGTGCGCGTCGTTGCTTTGCGTTCTTCCTAGAATCGCGTCGGCCGATGACTCGGCTTTGATATATGTTCTTTGGTATTAGCTAAGACTGTTTTATAGCTTATTTTGGTAATGCCATCTTTCAAGTAGTTAAGACTATAAGTATCTGTTTAATACTGTTCTACAACAATTCACCCATCTCAAATCCTTTAAAAAAAATTGTTCGATTGTAACATGATATTGTTGCACCCAACAGAAGTTGGCTTAAGCCCCTCTCCCACTAGGGTTTTTTCAGCATACGGGTTAGAGGAGTTTGCCGAGTTGCTAACTCGGCATAAATTCGTAGGACTATTCAGGAAACTCGGGGAGAACTCGTACCTACTCGTAGCAGCTCTGATCTCGTGGCGCTAATTTTGAACATGTTCAAAATTAGTGCTATGAGTTGACAACTCATAGTAAACTCGAAGGACTCGTAGCTAACTCGTAGAGTACTTAAGGTACTCTTACCTAACTTGTACATTACTTGGGATACTCGCAGTTTTGTAATCCATGACTTTGATGCAAGCACCCCGAAACGAGTAGGGTTTAAACGACATTTACACTAGACATGATTACGACACGACGACATATCATCCCTTAGTTTGTATTCTTCAGCACTGCACGCATATGTTTCGTGTCGTTGGTCATAATCATGTCTAGTGTAAATGAGACTTTAAGTACGAGCGCACCGAGTAGGTTACGATCAGCAGGAACATTTAATCGGAATGCTCATACCTAACTCTTATCTAATTGGTACAAACTTGTTATGCTCATAATAATCTCGTAAAGCTTGTAGTAAACTCGGTGCTTCGCTCTACATAATTCGTACATAACTTGTAACTTACTCCGTAAGGTGGTACCTCACTTGTAGCTAACATGTAGTAAGCTTGTATAGAGGTCCTTTCCCAAGCGAATTAAATCACAAGTTTCACAAGTTTTTACTTGGAGAAGTCATGCGACTCTTGGATTAAATCAAAGTAGGTGGGTTAGGGGCTTTACTAAAGTAATGTTCAATTTGTTTGGTTTTTAAAAATAGTTTTGTAATGTAGCAAAGGAGCATGACTGCTGAACTGTGTTCAACAATACCAAATAACTATCAATATTTTCCTTTAAGAAGTTTCATTTTAAATAAGTTTTATATTCATTTTTTTCTATACAAAAAAAAATAGAACTATTGTAATGTAAAGTATATGACAGAATACGAAATAAAAATATGAAAAAGTTAATGAAACAATTGTATTTTAATTTATTAATTTATTTCATTGTGCAAATATAAAACCACCTGTCATTACTGATATTCATTTTACAATCAATATTTACATTTACAACAAATTATAAAAATCAACACTTAAACATCAACACATAATTAAAATTGGTATTTGCTTAATGATGTTAAAAGTCATCTGTTTTGAATCTTGAACTTGTTGGTACTCATTATTTTTATTCTTGTTTGGAACCTGAATGTGGAAGAAAAATATAATAAAATTTTATTTCATTTTAATAGGATTGTAGTAAAATGTTAACCCAGGTACACACGTGTGTCCTAATCAACGAATGCATTCCCCTCTCGGGTGAGCACTTCATGTTGGTGATTGATAGACTGAACAGGTCATCATTAAGTTGCATTCCCTGAAATCACGATGGTCGTACGACAAAACAAACTCCACTTCCTGTGAGCACTAGATGATGCGACACTGATTATCAGTGGCAGTCTGAACCAGGGAAAAGAGAAATTATAATAAATTTCACTGTTCCCTGGTCTGAACAGCTCTTCATTAAAAATGATCTGTTGTGCGTGCGTTGTGGCGTTGCGTTCTCCCTAGAATCCCGTCGGCTGACAACCTGGCTTAAGTGCCCAGCTTAAAGGACACTACATATTAAATTTTGCTTACGAACATGTGTGCCAGTATAAATGTTATTATAAATGTATTGTATGTATTTGGTGTGCAAACTCTGATAACTATATCCTCAGCTATCTCCATTGATTTGGCAAACGAATGGGTTTTCATTGCAGAACTTACAGATTTTTATAACACATATCTAATGTTCCTAAAATTAATTATTCTCTTACTGGGGAGGAGCGGGTGGCCATTATATTTCTCTGTCAACGAGAAACATTGGTGAGTGAAGCGATCTAATCCTTTGGAATCATGCCCTTTTCATTCCCCATTATATGACAGTAGGCCTACATTTAATCTAGAAAGTATGTATAATGTTAAGACAAAATATCCTTGATGAATGTGATCTAAATTTTACCTGCTGATTGCTCATTAAGAGCATCAAGAACTCGTTGTTTGACTGCAGGATTTTCAATGTTAGCCAACAGGTCAGAATGGTGACGGAGATGTCGTAGAAGTAACCCAAGATCATAGGGATCATTTATGTCAACGGGTAGGTCGATCTTACTAGATGAAAGAATCTCCTTCATCTTATCAAACACTTTAAGAAGTAAACAAACAAGAAATAAAAGTCAAATATGAGGAGCCTCATGACACGAATTGCAATGTTACAGTACTGTATATTGTATACATAATGGAGAGTGGCGTGGAGAGTGGTTTTCTGTCTGTTAGCCCTTGATTTGCTTTTATTTTATTTCTTTGGTCTCCCGTCTTTTGGTTAGACTAGGTTAGTTATGTGTGACAAAGCCATAGTACCATACTCTAGGCATGCTAGTCACTGGTATCAAATAGAAACATTTGTTAATTGTAGAAAGAAATAGCTAGGCCTATATAAGTTTTAGCTAGTAGAAAGTGATATGCCACAATGGAGAGTGTTAATGATTATGAGGCATACATGACAATAAACCTACTTTCTTTACTGATGAGAACTTCTTTTTTGGCTTCAGGAGGCACCTCTGCATTTTCTACAGGAAGTTTTGCAGAGCTCTTGTCGTTTTCTTGTACAGATTCTACAGAGAAAGTATCCTCACCAACTCCTCCAACTTCCTCTTCTGAAGTATCATGTACTGCTTCAGTTGCTTGTAGGCCCGCACTGTCAGTAGATGAGGGTGGCTCTTCTAAATCATACAAAATCGATGTGGCTTTTTTCGGCATCATCTCACTTTTCTCAATTTCACTACTACCTGCATTCACGTTATTCACTAAATGGGATTGCTCTGGTACTTTCAGCAAATTTGATTTCTTGCCAATATCCATTGTCATTGAAATGCCTGTGTTTTCAATTTCTTTCAATTTATCTTTCGTTGGATACTTTTTTCCTTTTTTCGTCTGCATCTTTTTCATTTTCTTTCTGCTTGCCTTCTTTTTCTTTCCATTCTTCTTTACATTGTGAATTTTCTTTCGTATTTCTGTACTACCTACATTGAGATCTACCAATTTATCCACTTTTTTTGAACGTGCATTTGCAATCGTACCATCTGTCTCTACGTTTTTAACTGATTCATTCATTGGTGCAGTTTCGGTTTCATCGTTCCCTTCTGGCAGCATCCCACTCTTATCTATTTCAGTACTACCTGCATTGAGGTCCACCAATTTATCCACTTCTTTTGATTGTGTGTCTGCAACCGTATCATCTGTTGAATGTGCATCTGCAACCGTATCATCTGTCTCTACGTTATTAACTGGTTTATTCATTGGGGCAGTTTCGGTTTCATCGTTCTCTTTTGGCAGCATCCCACTCTCATCTATTTCAGTACTTCCTGCATTGAGGTCCACCAATTTATCCACTTCTTTTGATTGTGTGTCTGCAACCGTATCATCTGTCTCTACGTTATTAACTGGTTTATTCATTGGGGCAGTTTCGGTTTCATCGTTCCCTTCAGGAAGCATCTCATTCTGGATTTCAGTACTACCTGCATTGAGGTCCACCAATTTAACCACTTCTTTTGAATGTGCATCTGCAACCGTATCATCCGTCTCTACGTTATTAACTGGTTTATTCATTGGGGCAGTTTCGGTTTCATCGTTCCCTTCAGGAAGCATCTCATTCTGGATTTCAGTACTACCTGCATTGAGGTCCACCAATTTATTTACTTCTTTTGATTGTGTGTCTGCAACCGTATCATTTGTCTCTACGTTATTAACTGGTTTATTCATTGGGGCAGTTTCGGTTTCATTGTTCCCTTCAGGAAGCATCTCATTCTGGATTTCAGTACTACCTGCATTGAGGTCCATCAATTTATCAACTTCTTTTGATTGTGTGTCTGCAACCGTATCATCTGTCTCTACGTTATTAACAAATCCATCCTTTGGAGACGTTTGTATTTTATCAACATTTTCTGGCAGTATCTTACTCTCCTTAATTCCAGTACTACTTGCATTGACGTTGTCTACCAAGTTGTAGGATTGCTCTGGTAATTTCAAAAGATTGGATTTGTCACCAATATCCGATGTCAACTTAATGCTTGGGTTCTCGTTTTCTTTAATTTTATTTTTCGTTGTCTTTTTGGTTGGTTTTCTTACTTTCTTCCTTGGATTTCGTTTTTTCTTCCATCGATTCCTCCTCCTCCTCTTCCTCGTCCTCCTCCTCCTTCTCCACCGCCTCCTTTTTGTTTGTCTTTTCTGTCTATCATTTTGTTTGGATTCGGCAATCGTACTTCCTCCTGAATCTCGTTTCTGGATTGCAGATTTTAACTTTTGATTTCGAATTTCGAGATCAGCATCAATGTCATCTAAGATGATGTCTCGTTTTTTACGATCATCCACATTTTCGTTATTTCCGATGGTCCAGTCGTCTACACCCGATTTTACTGCACTTAAATATATCACCTCATTTGCTGCTGGTAAAACAGCATCATTCAAGTGTTCCTGCGAAGCTAAACACGTATCATCATTTTTTTTTTAAAGACAGTGTATATCATTATTGCGGTTGTAACTGTTATGTTTATATAAGGTTTCGAACATTTGTGCGATTTATTTTAATTTTATTTAAAACATCTTTAGGCAGGATAACATACAGACGGGATCTTAACGCTGTTTTAAGCCGAGCACTGCGTCGTACGACCGTCGGCCGACGAACTCAATTCCTCTCCTTTTGAGTTTTATACGACGGGACACCGTCTGTCTGAACGGATCGTCATTAAAAACGATTCGTTGCTCGAGCGTCCTCGCGTTACGTTCTTCATGGAATCGCGTCGGCCGATGACCGTCGGGCGCAGTGTGCCCGTCTTAACTGTACAATAACAACAAACAATGACAAGCAGAACAAAACGAAATAAAAATTTTCGACTGAAACTTACCACACAACTGTTTAATATCAAAGAAGCTATGTCGAAGCAGTTCACGATGGTTCCCGAAGCACTTCCCAACATGTATGATCTTAAACGGATCTCTGATGACGTTTGTAAACTTGGAAAGGAAGTTTACCGAGAAACAACCACAATCTATTGCTTCAGTATCCAGGTAACTATGATGAAGAGAAGAGTATCATTTATTTTTTTTAATAATGTTTTGTGAGGGAGAGCTATACAATTGAAGATGAAAATTTGGGAACATTACACCATGGCCAGGGGTGCTAAGGAGAGCTAAGCTGTCCAAATGGGTCTAACAGTTTTCAAGGAGCTTAGGGGCAAACCCCCTGGCGTCTACAATTTTAAGCTGTTATGGGATATCTTCTTATGCATTAAGAATTTGTTTTTTAAAATGCATGCATTCAATAACACATCATACCACCCATTTTGCTTCGAATAGTGAGCTAATTTTTCAGTTAATTTACTTAAGCCAGGTATTCACTGGTCGTACGACGTGTCCGACGAATCCAACTCCGCTCTCCGTGAGCGCTAGGCGATTGTCAGTGGCATCATCATTAAAATCGATCAGTTTGGGTTGGGTTCTCCATAGAATTGCGTTGGCCGAAGTCCGTCCAGCGCTGTGAGTGCCCGGGTTTAGATGTTGGTAATTGTATGATATACATGCTATACCTAACCTATGTTATGTATTGTAGGCCTAAACTTACACATATTCAAGTTGTGGGAAAGCTCTAAACATCTCCTCAAGTGCGTTTATGTCATAACCGTGGTTAAAAGACTCTGATTTTACAATCCTGTAAAAAATAAAAAGAGCAGTAGGTTGGCATTATAATAATGTTGGTCTTTATTTATGATAGTTTTAAACGGCCCACTAAAAGTGAAATTTATGCAATGTTCTATTTGATAAACGTTGCGGCGCCTAATCGATATATGGGGCCTACATTACTACATGAATTCATGTTACATGGATTCTATTAAACCACCAATTTCAACAATGGAATCTATACTGTAATACTAACG